ATTCCTGCCTGGCTCGGCTTTTCCGCTCGCTGCTTCCTCTGTGGAGCGATGCCTGGGAGGCAGCTGAGCACGCCTCACTTTCTCTTTGCCTCGCTCCCTCCTCTCCGCCGTCTGTCCCTCAGCTCCATCTCCCGCCCAGCCTGTTGTAGCGGCCAGCGGCCCCTGTTCTCCTTCTCCAGCCTCCTCACCAGAGTTGAACTCCCCAGAGGATGTCTTCAGCACTGGCAAATCTTCTGCAACACCCGTGTTCCTCTGCCCAGAGCAAAGCTAAGCTCAGCCCAGTGTTGGCAGTTCAGCTGGGATTTTTGGACTGAGTCCTCCTTATTCCCAGATCTGGGGTCCCAGGATGGGTTCTGGCAGCTTCTAGGTGTTTGGGTGTGGTGCACCCCTTGGCCCTCACACACCTCTGTGCCCACCCAGGGCTGGCTCCCTCCCGTCTGGTGCCTGCCAGCCCAGCTGGGGGCCCTGGGGCTCGCTCTGCGCTCAGGGGGCTGCTGCTACCCAGGCTCAGCACTGGGACTGCAGCCCAGCTGAAATCCCAGGGGCCATGTCGGGTTCCCTAGAGATGGGTCTGCTCCTGAGGGTGATGGAAGACGTCCCCAAAATCCAAGAAAGAGAGGAGATTCTGCTATACAGGGCCTCTCTGTGACTGCTGAAATTGCTGTATGGGGGCAAAGCTCTGATCCTAAAAATCTAAATTAAAAGTGCAAAAGCTTCTCTTTGACAATGCATGCTAATATGTCAGTGTCTGAATGGCCTTGCTATGGAGCTCAGCAGCCCTGCGTGCTGCTCACAGCGGTGGGGACTCTGAGCGAGGCTTTCTCGCTGAGCCATTGACAGTGCTGAACTGCAAATAATAGGAGTGGAAACCGCCTTTATCTTTTCATCTCCTTTGCTTTGTAAATCAGGTTTTGTGCCTATTAATTTCTGGGCAGGTGCCTTAATTAAAGTTTGGGGTGTGAAGAATAATGATAAATCTGTGTCATGCACCTTTCTCTTGGGAGTCAGCCAGATTTAGCCTGCCCTTGACTATGGGCTTGCTAACGCTCTCTCACAGCAGCTTGGAGAATTTCCTCGTCATTTTGGTCCTTTGTTCTCCTCTCCCCACAGCCTCTGTGGAGTTACACATCGATAATTAAGGTTTATGCAAACGGCAGTCACCTCAGTTACCAGCCAGCTGTAATAAGTTGGTTTGAACAAGAACGTGGCAGCAGAAATTTCAAGGGGATGAGCAGTTCAAAAGGGACGCAGCAGGGGTAAAACTCATCTCTCAAAAGGGATTTTCCTTCTGTGTCTTGGTAATAAAATCAGGGCCAACGAAGAACCAGCTCTCCTGGCTGCTATTTCCATAGTCACCTCGAGGGCCTGCATCCCATCATCCTCAGTTTCTATGGAAATGGGCAGCCACCTGGTATTGTGTAGGGTTGGAGGTGCCTCTGCAGTTTCTCCTCTGAGGGCCAGGGCTGGCTTGCCGCTGGCCACTGCATGCTGGTGAAACATTCCAACTCACATGGCCTCAGCACCCCAGGCTTGGGCCTGGGGCACCCCCAAGTCCTTTTTATTGCATTCAAATAAAAAAATGCCAACAGCTTTTGTAAACAGCTTTTATAAATCCTTATGCCTGAGCACAGAGCTTGAACAATAAGCCTGAATTATTTATTCGGCTCCTTAAACAAACACCAAAGCAGGTTTTTAACATCAGTCTTTGTATCAGGGAGGAATCCAGGTAAAATTGCAAGAACAAACTGTCCTGCAGCAAATTTGTGGTAGGGGGTTGGCCTGGCCCCCACCCTCTGTGCTGCTGAGCGATAGCTGCTTTCCTTGTCTAGACATCGCTTCCAGAAGCATCTCCGTGGGCTCCTCATTGAATAGCAGCTGTGACACTGAACCACGCCGTTCCCATCATGTGTAATGCAATATGGGATGCCCCCTCGCTAGCTCATTGCTTGGGTCAAATTTGTTTTCAAGCATTTATTGGCCTGGAAGCTGTGTGGGGATGTGTGTGTCGGGAGGGGAGGAGGTAATGGGGAGACTTTTGGGGTTTCACAGCTTGGCCTGAGAAAGGGGCGCCCCCAGCTTGGGATTTTTAATACTGCCTAAACCCAAGTGTGCTGCCCAGTGCTGAGCATGTGGTAACAGAAAGGAAGTTTTGCACTCCTGGTAGTGTCTGCCTTGGCAACTGCCGCAGCACAAACCTGGCGCTTGGTGGTGTGGGACACATGGCACGTCCGTCTGGCAGACTTCAGCATCCCTGGGGCTTGTCCTTCGTGGCCTGGGATAGCTACCCTACTCAGGACAAAACTCACTGCCTGAATTACCAGTGCTGTAGGATTGGATGTGGGAGCAGATGGGATTGCATTGGCACCACTGAACCCTTTGGGTACCCATTGGGTACTGCCATGACACTGGCCCTCACCCCCACCTGGCTGGGATGCCCACCTGCCTGCCCTCTCTGCAGCCCCTCTCCCAAAAGCACAGCTCTGCTTCTGCGCGGTCCTGTGTCCCCTCACACCCGGCTGTAGTAGGCAGCCGTCTCCCTTCGGGGTGTGGAGGAGTGTGTAGGGGGCTGCCCTTCCCCTGCCCAGCCGTTGCCACTGGGGAGAGTGGGTGGGTGGAGGTGCAGCGGGGGCTTGCATCTGTGCCAGCTCTTCAGGGCCGTGTTCATGGTGCTCTGGTCAGTGATGCCCAAGAGCTTCTCGGTGGCTTCTCCTGCATCTGCAGGGGCTTTCCTGGGCGAGTGCGAGCGGCTGCCAGGTCTGTGCTCATGCCCTCGAAGAACTGCTGGATGCAGACCTTGGCAAAGCTCCTGGCATGGTCTGCACATGTCTCATCAAACAGCTTGCGCTCGATGTCAATGTAGTGGGACCAGTACCTGCTCTTCAGGAAGGCAGCTTGGGTGAAGCAGGGCCGGAGGGATCTGACCAAGAAAGCCAGCATGGTCATCAGCAGCACAAAGCACCATCCCAGAGCCTGCAGGGACAAGGAGGGAATGGGACCCTTCTCATTGGCATCCAACAACAGGACGAGAGGCAACAGGCATAAACTGCAGCATAGGAAGTTCCACCTGAACCTGAGGAAGAACTTCTTTACTGTGAGGGTTACTGAGCACTGGAACAGGCTGCCCAGAGAGGTTTTGGACTCTCTCTCCCTGGAGATATTAAAAAACTGTCTGGACAAAATCCTGGTTCATGTGCTCTAGGAGTCCCTGCTTGAGCAGGGTGGTTGGACTAGATGACCTTCAGAGGTCCCTTCCGACCATTCTGTGATTCTGTGACCCATCACAGACAGGCAGAGCACATGTCCAGCACTTCCCACCAGCCTGCAGGAGCCCACCAGGCTGCCAACAAGCCTGGCTCCACTTTGGGCTATTTGACATTTGGCTGTGTTTACACTGCAAAGCTGGACAAGGAGACCCTACGTGCCATGTCAAGGCATCTGTGCTGAAATTGTTTGATGCCCCCACATAGGCAGCAACTCTCTGCTTCTTGCCTTGTATAGCATCAGCTGGCAGTGACCATAAGTAACACCAGCCCTCGGTCCTGCCTTCCATACAACCATGTCTCACCAGAGTTTAAGATATTCTGTGTCCTCTGGCTCGCAGCTAACATTGTTCCAGATACACCCTGGGTTTATGTGGTTGTCTAACCTTTTTCCTGAGCTGTTTGACTTAGTAACATCTATTGTGGGTGAGCAGCAGTGACAGGCTCCCCTGTTAATGGGGTCTGACAGGAAGGGTGAGATGAGGGCAGAACCAGGACCAGTCTGTCTTGTTCACCATCAGTCCCAGGTCAGGCTGCCGCCAGGCTGTGCAGGCAGAGCTCACAAAGATGAACCTGGCTCTAAATGCAGCCCCCTAAAAATGCACCTGGGAGGAGGTCATCTGGGTAACACCTCTTGTTTTGCAGCTCCCAGTATTTCCCAGCAGCTGGTAATTTGGAGCTACCCAGGAAAATCTGCTTTTTGTCTTTGGAGAGATCCCCATGCCTCTGATTCTCTTGAATTTGGGATAATAATTCCTGTCTGCCCTAAGGAGGTCAGGGAGAGGAGCTGCTTTTAAACAGGAGCACATGAGTGACCAGAGTAGGGCAGACCATCCTGTCTGGCCTACATGGCCAGAAGCAGAAGGCTTGAGAAGAATTAAGGACAAGCAGTTAGTGGCTTGTTGTGGTTCCCTGGGATGGTTAATAAACACACGCTGGCTGTTTCCATGCAAGCAGCAGGGGCAAGTGGCATAGGTGGTTATCAGCCCATTGCTTGCACATGTTATAATAAGTAGCAAGAGCAACTGTGGGCAACCGGTGGGTTATGGGAGGGGGTGACAGCCCACCAGCAACCAAGTAACATCCATGTCAGCCTCTTCGGAACTTGCACTAAATAAATCTCTGCATACAGCTTGGCTGTGGATTGCAGCCCTGCAGCCCCAGGCTGCCCAGGCAGAAGGGGGAACCAAATTATAAGGGTGACCTACAGCTTCAGTCTCTGCACCACACTGGAGGCGTAACTGCCTGGAGCTGAGTCTGAACACCTTGTACCTCTGCAAAATTACCAGTCTTCTTCTGCAGCTTGATTTCAACAAGGAGATTCCCTCGAGGGATGAGCTAAGGCTGTCGGTGCCTTACCCCAAGCCACTAGTGAGGGCACAGCCGTGATTCCTCTTACCTGTGAGATGCAGCGCAGGTACCTGATGGCCACTTCATTGGCGATGAGCTCCTGTCCATCATAGATCTCCTTGCAGGGGATGCGGGCGAGGACCCTCTTCATCTCCCCTTGGGAGAGGCTGGGGTGGCTGGCGTTGCCCAGGGTCTCCACGGGCACAGAGGTGCAGAAGGCACAGGTGATGCACTTGCCGTCCAGCAGCGTCACTGAGACCCAGACTGCCGGGGCGATCATGGCCCGCTGTGCCATGGAGCAGAACATGTAGCGCAGGACGGCCGGGTCCTTCCCTCGCTGGCCCCGGGGTCGCCTCCACTCCTCTGCCAGCATGGAGATGTTGTTGTTCAGCACGAAGCCCAGCAGAAACAAGATGAAAGGGGGCACCAGGAGGATGCCCAGCCCATAGACCAGGTTGTAGCGTGGCAGGCATGGGCAGTTGAAATCAAAAGCTGAGTACATCTGGGCGCTGGCAAGGGCCATGATCCCGCATATGCCGTTCATGAAGGACTCCTGGTTGGACTGGAGGAACTGGAAGATCATCCGAAACTTGTCCATCTTCCCTTGATGTGATTCCTCCCCCCACTGGGGTCCAAGCTGTGGCCTCGTTTTACTTCATTCTTTCAGCCTCCCTCTCCAAAGATGGGCATCAACAAGTCTCTGCACAGTTCACTGATTCATTCATGCACTCTTACAGCCTCAATATTTAAAGCAGAAAATGAAATCTTATTTTTTCTGCTGATTTTGCTGCTTGCAAAATTCGGAGTTTGATTCCTCCTTCTCTTCTTTGGGTCTGTGGGACCTGGGTTGTTTCTGGTTTGCTAAACCTGGCTTTGTCCCCATTTCTGCAGTCTCCTGGTCACCAATCCCCTTGGCTGGAGGGTGCAGGTGTTACCATAGCTGTGTGCTGCTCAGAGCAATCTGTGCTCTGGGCAGAAAGGGAAGTTGGCTGGTCAGCCTCTGTGAACCTGTTTGCAAATGCAGGAGGTGGGTGCTCCTCCCAGGACTGACTGGGGAACTGCTGCGGTGCCGCACATGGGGAAAAGTGGCTTCCCCCCTCCCTCCATGTCTGCATCGCCCCAACAGCATCTAATGCAAGTGCCTCCCAGGTCTGCCAGCTCCCTGGTCTGTGCCTGCTTCTGCTTCACTGGGAAATGCCTTCTCTCTGTTTTATTTTGCAGAAGGAAGGGAAGAGAAAAGGAAAAGCAGAGGAAGGAGAAATAAAGCTCTCGGTGCTCTGGGATATTGTATCTGTACTGCCAAAGTCTTGTTATTTGCTCCCCTCCACACTACAAATGTCTGCATTTCAGCCAGACTTACAAGTTGACACATGTAGGGCCTTTGTTTTCATAGCCCTGTGCACTCAGGGCTTGCTAAAATATCCTTCAAACCCTGGCTGGCATAGCCTGGTGACATCCAGAGGCACACAGGCTTTTCCTGGCTTTAAGGCTGGGTGAAAACAGGCAGAGAAAGGAGGGAGGGCTGCAGGGACAGGGGCACAGAGGATGAGCCCTGCTTTGCAGGCGGGGCCTGCTGAAAGCATCTGAGCCCTGGGTGCCTTTGCTTTCTCTGGAGATGCTCCCTACCCAGCAGAGCTCTGAGATTCAGGTTTTCCCCTGAGATTTCTTCTTTGCACTCACGTTCAACGAGCATTTCTGAAAGGCTTGGGTACACTTTGCTTGGAATGGCAGTGATGGAGGCTGAATAAGGTTTTCTTGCAGCCACCTGTTGTGGGTATAATCCCAGCCCCTTGATAACTTTGGGATGTACAGGAGTTGGGAATACAGAGAGGATGTGTAAATCCTGCTGGTGACCTCCCTGGCCCAAGGGCAGCCACTGTCCCCCAAGGGACCATGTTTCTTAGTGGTACCAGATGACCTGCAGGCATGGGCTGTGCAGAACCCTTCCTGCCCATCAGGCCAGGGGGTACCAGCAGCCCCAAGGGCTGAGGGTGCAGTGGAGCTGCTGCTCCTCTGAAGATCACTCAAATCCTGCCAGGAAGGGCAGAGCAAGGACTACCTGAGCCAGCAATGTGCATCCATTTAGCAGGAGGGACTGGGGCTGGGATTTGGCCATATGCCTTGACCTGAGGCTAAGGCACATTTCCCATACAACCAGTGCATGGTGAGGGAGGACTGAGCTGGCCAGGTGCTGGGCTGGCTGGTCTGTACAGTTTAGCCACAGCATTTTACCTGGGCTTGTTAATTTAGTAGCAACACCAAGTGATCCGGACCCAAGCAGACCTGAACACCTGCGTTGCCCTCCCTGCTCTTTGCACTCCAGGAGCGGCCTGGGCAGAGCCATCTCAGGTCTGTGGTGGACAAGCCCTGTGTGTTGATACAGGGGTGTAAAGCTTCCCCATCACTTCCATCCCTCTCCCCTCAGTTCAGCTTGTTGCTGTTACCTCTGCAGACCCAGGGGTTTTCTGGTGCAGAGACCCTGTGCACATTTGCGAGCAGAGAGCCAACCAGAGAGATTTATCCCCAGCTTGCCAGAACTGACACAAACAGTAATGAGATGTGGTAGCTGTGGCTGGGCCAGGCTTAGCTCCTACAGCACAAACTTAAAAGAAGTGGATTGTGTTGTTGTTGTTCTCCTGCATCTGTATTCCCAGTTCATAAAGCAGCTTTCATGCACTAGGATGCTCCCTCAAGTTGGCCAAAAGATGGGGGGCCTACAAGTGGCCGTAAAACAGCATGTTGCAGTATTGACTGCCTACAACTCATTCAGTCCCTCAGTCCAGGCACCACCTGTGCTGTTGACGTGGATATCAAGATACATCTGACTGTCTGGGCACCAGCACGGCCACATTGGTGACTGTCAGACACGTCGCCAAGGTAGGCTGTACGTAGGTGAGTGGCATGCAGGAGATACTTTTCCCCAAGAATTAGCAGTGCGTCAGTACAGAGGTAGGAAGCCAAAGCAGGTGTTTTGGCCATTAGTCAGCGCTACAGTTTCTGATGTCTCCCCTCACACTAGCCTTGGGGCTCAGTTGATAATGCCAAGTCCACCCTGAGATGCCACCGCAGAGGTGAGCACAAAGCACATGGGTAATACCTGGGCAGTCTTAGCTCTGCCTGCTGTGGAGAGGTTAATTGCATGACCTCATCAAACAGGAAGAGATTAGGCTGCATGAATATAGATGAGGCTTATTGTATTGCTAGCTAAGAGCTCAGGCTGGCTTCCTTGTTCACCTGACGAGTGGCTTTTTGAAAGTCAGTTCACATCAAAGCCTATGTGAATCAACCTTATAAAAAGCAGAGAGCATTTTGATCTCCAGGAAAACTCTGCCTTTCATTAAACATGAATGAGGGGTCTGAGCCTGCTTGGTGTACAGCACTGGCAGTTCTCATTGAACCCAACAATAAGTCAATGGGATTCAAAATAGAGCCCATAGAAGCCAATGCCTGTGTCTTTCTTTCTGTGTTGCCTTTTTAGGGAGGACCTTGTTTCTGTGAGCTTGCCAACAAAGAGTTCACTCCAATCAGTTTGTAAGAGAAGGCAGAGCTGGTGCTTTCTTCTATGATCCCAACCTGTTCATGCTTTGGAAACCAGGTCCTGGGAGTGATGGTACATGCCCAAGTCCCTCCCAGTGTGAGGTCCTGCACTTGGCCACCAAGACAGACACCAAGCCAAGGAGTGAAGGAGAGCTTTGTGTGTCCCATCCAATGTAGGATATAGAGAGGAGGGACAGAAGAACTGTCACGATTCCCACCAGGAGAGTTTGGGAAGAGATCGAGGAAGTTGTCTTTGCAGTCAGCCCTGCTGTTTCAGCCCTGAGAGACAGAGAGCTGCTCAAGTTTGTCAACAACCCTCTCTGCTCCCACTTCCACAGGAGGGTATGCACTCCTAGCAGAGGTGGTGGGAAAGGACCTCTGGAGATCATCTGGTGTCCCCCCCTGCTCAAAGCACACTTAGGGGCACCTCTAATAGTGTCGTGCGTATCTCCATGGATAGAAGTGCCACAATCTCTCTGGGCAACCTGTTCCCTCACCCTCAAAGTAAATAAGTGTTTTCTTCTCTTCAAATGGAATTTCCTGCATTTTGGGTTTGTGCCTGTTGCCTCTTGTCCCAACACAGGGTGCCACATATAACTTTTCACAATGGAGAAGAGTCCTCTGGCTTCAAAGGGGAACGTAGCAGGGGACTTGGAGAGGCTGGGATGGATGCACATCCACAGCCCCATCCAACTGGAGCTACTCTGTGATCAGACTGACCCTCCCAGCAGTGTGTGAGCCTTTGTAGACCTGTAAAAGTCTACGGCAGAGCTCTTAAATCCTCTGTTTTTCTCCCTCCCAGTACAGTTAACAAAGCTGTTCCCCTTCCCCTTTTTTGCATTTTGTATTTTGTGGCCACTCTGAGATGACTTAAAACCTGAGAACATGGAAAGCAGCATGCAAAGAGCAGCTGCAGACCTCTGCTCTGAGCTGGTTAGGGAAATAACTGATTTGACTAGTGTGGAGTGGTGAGTCTGAACTGAGGCTCAGCCTGAGATTTGTGATGTCGTGTCTAATAAAAGGAAACCAGAGACAAAATTCAAAGTGCAATGCTGATTTCAAAATAAAGCTCAGAAGCTCCCTGGACCTGAAGAGCTCCTTTTGGGAAGACGACTGTTATTCCCAACTGGTACGGGCCACAGTGGGCTTCTGGCCTCTCTGAGCTCATCCAGGGGAGATCAGGGCTTCAGCCAGAGCTGATTTTGCTATGCAAATAGGAAAAGCTCTGCAGCCCATCCCTCAGCACCCCGCAGCTCCTGGCCAGGCCTCAGCTGGCAGAGGGGTGCAGCTGCCCACGGGTGGGCCATGGAGTTATTTGGCCTCCCTGTGTTTTGCCAAGCACCTCCTCCCTCCCTGACCCCATGCACACAAACATCCTGGGGAGGAGCTGACCCACCTCCCAGCAGCTCAACAAGTTAATTTGGGGGATTAATGTGTGTTTTCAGTTCAACTCCTCATTTTGGATTTAATCACAAGGTGGTGGCAGGTTTCTTTGCTCCTTTCCCACCCTCTTCTTTCCTCCTGGAGGCCCTCCTTGCCTCATCTATCCATGCATGGCCAAGGAGACATTTCTCCTTCACCACCCTCCTCACCACCCCTCCACCTTGCACCCCTCACTCCCAAGGCATCAGTGGGAGCCTCAGCCTGGAGGAACGTACGTGTCTGTACTGGTTTCGTTTTCAGTAAAGAGTTTAATGCATCCAAACAGAAATATCTGTCAACTGGCACCATGGTTGGCACCATCTACAACAGGGGCTGGAAAAAGGCAGATAAGAAAGTAATTAGCATTAGAGGTTCAGACATAAGGTTACATTTGAACAGTTTGGAAACTAAGGTTGGAAATGCCCAGCTAGATGATGCAAGGATGATCCTCTGGATAGTTTGATTTGTACTAAAATCTAGCAGGGGATGTGTTTAAAATCGGCATTCAGACTTCTCAGGCAGAGTCATTGTGTCCTTTCCATGGCCCAGTGTCGGTGCTTACAGCAGCCACCTGAAGCCCAGCACAGTTCTGTGGCTCCGGATATGTTAAGCAAAGCCTTCATCTCCTTTTCCTTCTGC